CTATAATATGCTGAGCATGAAACCATTCTGAGGGCTCAGCTCCCGACAGAAACACCGTCCATGTCTTCCAAATCCCAACAAGTTCTTTCCTCCTTCACTTTTGTGGACTGACAGACCGATCCCGTAAGCCTCAGGTAAAAGCCACTCGCCGGCTCTTCTTTGCTTTGAACCCTTGATTCGTTCCACAGCCCTCTCCTATTGCCTACTGTGTGCCTGGCTCTGCGGCTCTGTCGGGCTAAGAGCGGGGTGTGAGGACGGTGAGCCAGAAGACAGTCCAGTACAGAGGGAACGAACACCAGGAGAACACGGGCTAGACAGGGCCTGAACCAAGCAGGGCACAGGGCATAAGGCCAAGTCCCACATCAGCGCCCTGGAGGAAGCCCGCATGCCAGCCCGAGGTTCCCCAAGTCCCCAGCACTTCCCTCCTTCCACCAGAGGGAGGGACCGCTCAGCAGGCTAAGCACAGGCTCTGCTCACAGTGCTCTCAGCACTGCAGGGGCAAGCCCTGAGCACCGGGAACAAGAGACGAATAAGCCATGGCAGAACCTGCAGAGCGGCCTGTTCAGATCCGACCCCACTCCTGTGGGGAGCACCCTGCACAAGCTCAGCAGCCATCAGCTCAGAGACGCCGCGGCCGAGGGATGTGAGGATGGAGCCGCCCGGTGAGACCTGCCCGTGAGACTTGCCCATTCACTATTGCACTGGAGGCTGAGGCGTGCCCAGCGTGATGTAAGCACAACTCCAACACCCAGGGGCGATGCTGGTGGAGAGAGAGGAAGGCCCCTGGGCATGTTGATTACTGGAAATCAATATGTCTAAGCAGTTTCTTAGTCACTTTGGGTTTCTGTTTGCTCTTGTCTTGTCCATTTTGGCGACGGTGGTGGGGAACACACGATGGCTGTGAGGGAATGGGGATGGAACCTGGCCATCCTCCATGCAAAGCCCATGCTCCAGCCCTCAGAGCTATCTCCTTCATCCTCTAAATCATTCCCTCTTGGGACTTGAGTGATAGTATAGTGGGTAGGGCATTTGCCTTGCACGTGGCCAATCCAGGTTCGATTCCCAGCATCCCACATGGTCCCCCGAGCACCGCCAGAAGTGATTCCTGAGTGTACATGCCAGGAGTAACCCCTGAGCATTGCTGGGTATGATGCAAGAAAAAAAAATCATTCCCTCTAAATATCTGCCCCCTGGTTTCGGGGGCAACTCCTGGGTCCAGAGGTCCTCCAGCCACCAGTACTGAGGTTGGCAAAGCACACGGGGGAAGCCCAAAGGCTGTGCTGAGCTCTGGGAGGCCACACACCCCTCACCTCTACTCTGTGACTCAACCAACTTTCCCAGCCCCTCTGAGTTCCCATTTCTTCACTGTAAAGTGGGGTGCTCTATGTGAAGACACTCCATAAGCTGCTGCGACACGTAACTGAAAAAGTAGGACGGGACCCAGAGAATAGTGCAGGTGGCTGAGGGTGCCTGCCTCACAAGCCTGTGTGTGTGTGAGCATGAGTTCAAATCCCCAGGTTCGGGGTCAGAGAGATGGGAGCGGAGGGTGGGGGGGAGGGGGAGGCACTCTCCCTGCATACATGTAGCCAACCCAGGTTCAATCCCTGGCACCTGCATATGGTCCCCTAAGCTGCACCAGGAGTGATTCCTGAGCACAGACCCAGGAGAAAGCCCTGAGAACCACTGGATGTAGCCCCAAACCAAAATAATAACAACGATAACAACAAACCCCCAGTGTCCCATGTGAGTACACGTGCTCTCTGTATTACAAAAGAAAAGTGGAGTGGAGAGGGGAGGAGTGGGGGAGAGGAGAAAAAGAAGGGAGGAGTGGGGAGGGGAGAGGAGGGGAATAATAATATAAACAGGCATGTTATGAATCCTCAAAAATATTACACTGGGAGGAGAAGGGAGGAGCAGTCGGAGGGCTGAGGATAGCTCAGTGGTAGAGCTGTAGGAAACAGCGGGTCTCTGGACAGAGAGGGCTCAGCAGGCTGGAGCACACGCTTTGCGTGCAGGAGGTCCTGGTTGGACCCCCCAGCACTGCCAGGAGTGATTCCAAAGCATGGAGTGGGAGGAACTAATATTTTAGGGGTTTGCACAAAAGGTCAAAGCCAAGATAATGAACTGCGGTTACTTCAAACACCTAGGTTAACTAAAAGAATCCCAACTGTAGGCCAGGGTTAAGGCTCAAAGGTTGGAGGGATGGGGAACACCAAGCACCAAGCCAGGACTAATGACTACCCCCTGAGCAGACTACCCCCTGAGCACTGCTGGCCTGGTCCCTAAAAAAAAAAACAAAAAACCTTAGGCTTCACCTAATGTTTTATTTCAAAGTAGCTATTTTTTTTTGGGGGGGGGGTTTACACCTGGCGATGCACAGGGGTTACTCCTGGCTCTACACTCAGGAATTACTCCTGGCGGTGCTCAGGGGACCATATGGGATGCTGGGAATCAAACCCAGGTCGGCCGCGTGCAAGGCAAATGCCCTACCTGCTGTGCTATCGCTCCAGCCCCTGCAAAGTAGCTATCTTAAAGAAATCTTAAAGAAATAACTCGGGGCTGGAGCAATAGTGGGGAGGGCGTTTGCCTTGCATGCGGCCGACCCAGCTTCGATTCCCAGCAGCCCATATGGTCTTCCAAGCACCGCCAGGAGTGATTCCTGAGAGCAGAGCCAGGAGTAACCCCTGAGCATCGCCAGGTCTAACCTCCCCCCCCCAAAAAAAAAGGAAAAAAAGAAAAGAAAGAACTCAAGGGGCTGGAGTGGGGCAGCACAGCGGGTAGGGCACTTGCCTTGCACGCGGCAAACCCAGGTTTGATTCCCAGCATCCCACATGGTCCCCCAAGCTCTGCCAGGAGTAATTCCTGAGTGCAGAGCCAGGAGTAACCCCTGTGCATTGCCGGGTGTGACCCAAAAAGAAAAAAGAAAAAAAAGAACTCAAAACAGAAAAAAAGATAGGGTAGGAGAGACAGTAGTATAGGTAAGGAAATTGCCTTGCACCAGGGTTCAACTCCTGGTACTATGTATGCTCCCCTGAGTTCTGCCCAGAGTGATTTCTGAGCAAAGAGGCAGGAGTAACCCCTGAACATTGCCAGGTGTTGCCCCATAAAACAAAACAAACCAAAAAGAACAGAAAAAAGAGATACTGATCTTAGAATTACTTATCACTGCACTGTGGCACTGTCATCCAGTTGTTCATCGATTTGCTCAAGCAGGCACCAGTGATGTCTTCGTTGCGAGACTTGTTACTATTTTTGGCATATCGAATACGCCACCGGGAGCTTGCCAGGCTCTGCCCTGCGGGCAGGATACTCGTGGTAGCTTGTTGGGCTCTCCGAGAGGCAAAATTCTCTCAGAATTACTTATAGGCACACACAAAAAAGAAGGTTATCATCAACGCCTTCACATCCAAAAATAGAAAATTGCTATATTATAAATCCTCAAAAATATTCCACTGGGGCCAGACAGATAGCTAGGGATAAGGTGTTTGCTTTGAAAACGACAGAGCTCATCAGTCAGTCCCCAGCACTGGCAAGAGTGACCCCTGGGATGGGAGATGCGTGCTGAAAGTCGACCACAGACCAAACAGGACAGCCTCTCAGTGTCTGTATTGCAAACCACGATGCCCAAAAGGGGAGAGAGAGTAAGAAGGAAGGTGCCTGCCACAGAGGCAGGGGATGGGGCGTGGTAGGGGTGGCGGGATGGGATACTGAGGACATTGGTGGTGGAAAGTGTGCACTGGTGAAGGGATGGGTGTTTGATCATTGTATGACTGAAACTCAAACATGATAGCTTTGCAACTGCATCTCACATTGATTCAATTAAAAAAAATTTTTTTAAAGATGGAAAAAAAACACAAGTGACCCCTAAGGGGCTGGAGACACAAGGGTTAAGGCACTGCCGTGCACATGCCTATCCTGGCACAATCCCCGGCACCACATATGTGGGAGATCATTGCACTCAGTGTGATCACAGGAGGGAGTTTGCCTTGCATGCCGCTGACCCAAGTTCGATCCCCAGCATCCCATATGGAGTGATTCCTGAGTGTGGATCCAAGAGTAACCCCTATGCATTGCTGGATATGAAAAAAACTGAACACACACACATACACAAAAAAAAAAAAACACAACACACACACACACACATGAAAGAGCAGTGAGCTCTGCTAAGTGTACCCCACCCCCCCGGAAAAAAATACAAAGAAAGGAAGGAAGGAAGAAAGGAATACAAGAATGAAGGAAAGACGGAAGGGAGGGAGGGAGGAGGAGAAAGAAGGCAATACTTGGGGGCCACCAGGGCCATACCTAATGGTGTTGGGGCGGTCTGCCTGCAGAGACTGTACTTGAACCCTGTGCCTGCAAAGCATGCACTCCAGTCTCCTGAGCCATCTTCTGGCTCAGCAACCAGGAAGCGCCCATGGGCAGGGCACTGAGCAGAAGCCTGGAGTCTTGGCACCAGTTGGACTCTTCCAGGATGTGATCACAGGCATCCTGATTGCCACCCCACCCCTGGTCACTCGCACTCAGCACAGGGCTCCTGTGAGAACCAAGGGCTGCTGCCCACCCTCCTCCCGGAAACCTCCTCTCCACACCCCCTGTCCCCCCCCACATTCTCAGTCTGCACTTACCTGGTCAATGCTCCGGGGAGGGGCCGAAGAGCTAAGACCGGGTGAAGGTGAAGAATTGACACAAGGTGGAGGCACCTTGCCTGCAAACTGTATGCTGTCCCCAGCAGCATGCAGTCCCTCAAGCACCAGGAGGCGGCCCAAGGACAGTGCCAGGAGTACCCCAAGCCCTGGAGCACTGCCAGGTGTGACCCAACTTTTCCCCTTACTCCAGATAAAAAAAAAAGCTCTGGGCAACTCTTAGGTCCAGAAAATACACAAATGTTTCCAGTGATCAAGGGCCGACGTCAGGACTGTCACATGAAAGCCACCTGGGGGCCACGGGCGGGCCATCCCTGAGGTGGGCTGAAGCAGCCGCAGAGGGAGGGGAGGGCTCACCTCATCCATGCCCGAGGCGGTGAAGAAGATGCCCACCTCCTGGGCATAGCTCTGCAGCTCCTTGTACTGGTCGTGGCTGAACTCCAGGTGCCGCTTATGCTCCCCATAGGTCTTGCCCCAGGAGTGCTTGGACGTGTAGGGCCGCTCCAGGGCCTTCCGGTTGAACTTGTGTTCCAGCTCACTTTTCTGAAACTTGGCACAGTCGGCGCCGCACTCCTGCAACACATGGGAGAGAGAAATGGGGTGGAGGTGGGGAGGGGGGGGCACACGTCTCTTTGAAAACACCAATGGGTAGGCTGGCTGGAGCAGTAGCACAGCGGGTTGGGCGTTTGCCTTGCACGCGGCTGAACCGGGTTCGATTCCCAGCATCCCATATGGTCCCCTGAGCACCGCCAGGAGTAATTCCTGAGTGCATGAGCCAGGAGTAGACCCTGTGCATCGCCGGGTGTGACCCCAAAAAGCAAAAAGAACAAAACCACCTATGGGCAGAGGAAGTATGAAGAACCCCCTAAGAAGAGGGAAAGGAGAAGGAACAAAGGTGTCTCAAAAAAAAAAAAAAGATTGGAGGGGGAGGGGGATGCTGTCCCGCTGTTCTACCCTTTCAAGATGCAAAAAAAAAAAAAAAAAAGGTCAGACCAGGGTTGGGCCCTGGGTTTGAGCTCCAGCAAAATCAATAAATTAAATAATATTTTTACATGTTCTTAAAACAGCTAGTGGGTGGGAAGACAGCTCAAAGCGGTATCGTGTGCATGTTTGGCAAGCAGGAGGCCCCCCCCCCATCATATATCAAAACCCAAAAGAAGGAAAAAGGCCTGGGGTGCGACTCGAGGCCCACCGCCCAGGCCTTATTCAGATTTGCAGGATGCCATGTTCATTCCCAGCCCCCAAGCACAGCCAGGAGTGACCATAAAATATACAGGATAACAAGGGAAAACAAAGAGCCAGAGGTGAGCTTCAAGAGGCTGATATACCAGGTGTGCTCCCCACCCCAAGAGAAAAGGGAAACAAAAGAAAAGCAGCTTTGCTTGTATTGTAAAATGTGAATTATTAAGATTTTAAGTTCTGTAACTTGATACAGGAGAGTAAAATACATCCTGGCCCAGAATTTAGGAGTAGGAGCCTGATGGTGGCTTCATTCAGACCCCAACTCTTGGATAAGTCACTTCCTGTCTCTGACTCAGCTTCCTCCTTCCCCCCATACAAATAGTGTGTGGGTTGGCACTGGAACCTGTAACTGCCATCGTGGTGGGAAGCAAGACCAACTGGTTTTAAGCTGTTTTATATGGTGCCTTTTTCTTTTCTTTCCTTTTCTTTTTTTCGGTTTTGAGCCACGCTTACCAGTGCTCAGGAATTACTCCTGGCTTTACTCAGGGATCTGAGGACTATATGGGATGGCAGGGCCCTTATATGGTGCTTTTCGACAGGCACTATGAAGAGGTCCTGGGGCAAAAAGCAAAACTCCGAGAGCTCTGGACTCGGGCATGATGTGCCAAGGTCTCCCTGACTGCTGTGAGCCTCTCAGAAGAAACCCACTTCACCTCCCCGCGTTGCTGCGGAGACATTCAATGAAACGGTGCATTTTAAAGCAACTCCACACAACATTTAAGAAAAAAAACAAGCACTCAAAAATGGTTAGCAATTGGTACCACTCCTTAAAATGGGTAGCCCTCCCCCCTTCAGTGATGCTTGGTGGTAGCAGGGGAGAGTTGGGACATCAAAGTTATGTGTGGCAGTGGCGGGGCAGGGTGGACACGGTATCTATCAAGGAATGAACTTAAGGCCTTGAGAATACAAGGCATGTGCTCTTCCACTCTCTCCCAGTAATCGTGACTCTGCTGGGTCAATTCAGGGGTAGAGGGTCTCTAAGAGGTGCTAAGAAGTAGATCTGATCAATCAATCAATCACCAGAATGGGGCAAAGGAGGTTGGGTTAAGAACTTTAAAAGAGTGTCAGGGGTGGAAGTGATCCCTTCCTAGGGACAATTCAGCCAACCGGCAATTCACTGCAAGGGTCTAAGGATGCAGAGCTCCTTGGGCCTTGTGGGCCCAGAACTAACCTGGGCCACTCTAGAAGTGGTGGGGGTTTCCAAGGCCACACTCAGCAGTTACAGGGCCTCCAGGGCTTAACTGGTAAGATTCTGGGGACCATGTGGTGACAATAACAAAACCGGAATCCTAGAGCACTGAACACCAGCATGGGTTACTCCTTAGCTCAGAGCCAGGAATAGTCACTGAGTACACCCCCAAACCCAACCCCCTATCCTGAGAAAAACATTATTTTCATGATTTAGTCTACTTTCACAAATCCAGTTCGTCCAAAAAAAAGTAAGAGAAAACCCAATTCCGTGTAATGGAATTGGAGAAACAGCATTGATTGACAAGAAAAGAAAGAAAAACATGGAATGAGTAATTGCCAAACAAAATCACAGACTTTGTGCTGGGGTCTGAGGGTGACAATAAAGAACATAATTACCCCCATCTTAGGGCTCACAGTTTAACTGAGATCATGACAACGTAATTCTACAGGAAGCTAAAGAAGCTCAGAGCTTATGGGGTGGGGGTAGGGGGGTTGACCCCAAGTAGACTGGAGCAGGGGTGATTTATCAAAAGCAGGAAGGTGAATGTTCATCCACATTTAATCACTAATAGCTAACATTAATTGAATCTGAGGTGCTGCATGCTGGGCAGAAGTAGATCTGATTAATCAATCAACCACCAGAAGGGATGAAGGAGGTTGGATTAAGAACTTTAAAAGAATCGGGGCTGGAGCAATAGCACAGTAGGTAAGGCATTTGCCTTGCACGTGGCCAACCCGGGTTCGATTCCCAGCATCCCATATGGTCCCCTGAGCATCGCCAGGAGTAATTCCTGAGTGCAGAGCCAGGAGTAACCCTGTGCATGGCCTGGTGTGACCCAAAAAGAAAAAAAAAAAGAACTTTAAAAGAATAAAAGAGTGTCAGGGGTGGAAGCAATCCTACAGTGGTTAAGGTACTTGCCTTGCATGTAGCCCACTCAGGTTCCATCCCCACATCCCACATGGTCCCCCAGCACCATGAGGACTAATTCCTCAGTGCTGAGCCAGGAGTAACCCCTGAGCATTGCCAAAAAAACAAAGAAAGAAAAAGTGATTTAATTTGATCCTCACAATTTGATGAAACAGGAACTACAATTATTAAGCATAGTCTTCAAGTGAGGAAACTAGGCTCACAGAGACTCAGTAGCCAGGCCATGTTCACACAGCTGGTAAGCAGGAGCAGGGATCTGCATTCCTAGAATTCTGGCATTTTCATCATTTCCTACTCTAAACACAAAGAATGGAAGATAACCTATCATACGGAGTTCCAAGCGCTTCCGGCAATTCCTGGAAATAAGTCCAGGTCGTCACTGGAAGACGTCAAGGACGCAAGAAGCACTAAGTAGAGCCAGGTCATTAGGATAAGTCTATGCTAAAGGTTTCCACTCTATTCCACGGGCAGCGGGGACCAAGGCGTCCGGCAGGAGATTTGATCAATCAATCAATAAATCAATCGCCAGAAGGGGACGAAGGAGCTTGGGTTAGGAGGCAGTTTGCGGTCATGCCAAAAGTCAGGCGGGTGGCGGCACGAAGATGAAGTTCCTTAGGATTCAGAAAGGAATGTGACAAGCGGGACGAAGGAGTGAATGGGGAGAAAGCGCGCGCTAGCAGGTGGCTCCGCCCCGAGGCCCACACGAGGCCCCGCCCACCCTGCATTACTGGCGCAGTCCGCACACAAAGCCCCGCCTACATGAGGCCCCGCCCATTCCACCTTCCTCCAGACTCCGCCCACATACGGTGCCACGCCCACTTCACTTTTCCAGGCCCGCCTCCATGCGAAGCCACGCCCACTCCGCCTTGGGCCCCGCCCCAGAGTGCCCCTTTCCCCGCACCCCCCCCACCCCCAACCCACCGGCACCCCGGGGCGCTCCAGCCTTCTCCCTTTTCCAGCAGTCCCCGCTCACCTTGGCCATGCGGATCATGCGCTTGGCCACTTCCAGATCGCCCTGGTGGTTCTGGCCGATCTCGGCGATGATGAAGCAGGGGTGCCGCCCGCCCACCCAACGCCCCGGACACAGCTCCACTTCTAACGGCATCGCGGCGGTTCGCTCTCCGACTCTGCGGCGCCCGACTCGGCTCCCCCGCCCGCCGCCGCCACCTCTGCCCCCGGGGCCCGCAGCGCCGCTACATCCACAGGCCGGCCCCGTACGTCACCCGGCCACGCAGCCAATCCGAGCGCCGCGCCTCGCTCTCGCCAGCCAATGGGGGCAGGGGGCGGAGTCTCCGCGGGGCGCCCGGAGGCGGACCGGGAAGCGGATCCTCCGGGGCTGGGCGCGGGCTGGGTCCTGCGGCGTCCCAGCGTCCTGCGGCTCTACGGGTCCCCGCGACCACACCTGCTCGCCAACGTCCGGAAGGAGTCAGACAGGTGGCGGCCGTGGCGGGGGGAGCGGCAGGAGAAACTGACCCTACGGGAACTTCAAGCCCAGCCGGCAGCAACGCGGGATCCAGAAGACTACGTTCGTCTGACTGTTGGTTTCCTTTATCTCGCCAGTGGGGAAGTGTAAGATCCGGGAGGTGGTGTGTAGAAAAACCCGAGCGCAGTAGCTGGCTTGTGGGCAGCTTTCAATAAGCGGTAGCCATTCCAATTGTTTGTTTAAAAAAAAAAGAAGAAAAAGAAGAGGGGCTGGAGCAATAGCACAGCGGGTAGGATGTTTGCCTTGCACGCAGCCGACCTGGGTTCGATTCCCAGCATCCCATATGGTCCCCCGAGCACCGCCAGGGGTAATTCCTGGTTGAAGAGCCAGGAGTAACCCCTGTGCATCGCTGGGTGTGACCCAAAAAGCGAAGAAAGACAAGGAAAGAGGTTTCTGGGTTAGAGAGAATGCAGCGAGTTAAGGCATTTGCTTTGCATATACAAGCCCTACCCGGATTCAATCCGCAGCACCCCATAGGGTTCTCTGAGCACTGCCAGGAGTGTCCCGAGTGGTCACAGCCAAGAGTGGGTCACAGATCCAGGACTGTGCCCTTAGCACTGGTGGGTGTACCCCCAAAACAAGCATTAAAAAAGTTCCACTAAATTTATTCAATGCCATCCATTGAATAATTGGAGCGATAGCACAGCGGGTCTGCCTTGCACGCAGCCAACATGGCCGACCTGTTCGATTCCTCCGCCCCTCTCGGAGAGCCCGGCAAGCTACCGAGAGTATTCGATATGCCAGACACAGTAACAACAAAGTCTCCAATGGAGACGTTACTGGGCCCGCTCGAGCCATCCAGAAAGCCCTGAATGATTAGAACACCCCCCCCCCACACACACACACACATGCACACACATACTGTCTCTCTTCGGTGCTTGCACACAAAATTGAGAAACAACAATCAGTTTGAAAGGGGAAGAGCAAAATAAAATCACTTTTCCAGCAGATCATTCAGAATCATCAGCAAAGTACCAACAACAGAGAGGGTGAGATACAAGAGTCGGTTTGGGGCTTGTTGGCACAAGGAGCAAGTGAAGTTGCTCACGGGGTTAGGAGGCAGGTCTGAAGCTGGGAGGGAATGCTTGGCTAGGAGCCCAGAGGTCATCTGCGTGTGGAAAAGGTAGAGGACACCCCACCTCCTCCGGACTTCTCCAGAAGCTCCTGCAGCCACACCCACAGCTCACCACCCATGCCAGGTAAGCTCATCTACCAGCCTGATCCAGAGACTCATAAATAAATCTCAAAAGAGATCAAAAAGCTGCAAAAATTTCCCCCACGCCCTGTCCTGCCAGAGACCTCTGAGGCAATCCTGGCATGGGGTGGGTCAAGTTCCTACCCAAAGCCCTACCCAAAGCCTTGCCAGCCACCTTCGTACCCCAGCATTCATGCCTCCAGCCAGAATGCCTAGTTAAATATTCTGGATTTTCTGGAGCGACATCTCCAAACTCTACAATACTAACATCCCAGTAGGAGCACCACACCAGATTGGATGGGAATGTAACACAGAAGCCCACCAGTCTTCTACGCCAGGCCTCACAGGACAGGGGAGGAGTGGGCCCTTCTTCTCCCCACCAACCCCCGCCCTGATGGGACTCCGAGATGACACTATAACTGGCCACCGTCTACTTAAGCTCCCACACAGCCAGGATCCAGAAATACACAAACGAATCTCGGACCCGAGCAACTTGCTGCAGCGATCTCTTCAGACTCTAATTATTAAAATTTTAGAATACCTAGAACATTATATTGTATCCGTCACAAGCAATACAAAACACATTGTCTAGCATTGCCTTTTTGGCAGGTATTAGTGGTGGTGCGACTGGTCTCTAAATATCGAAGGTAACCAAAGTAGAGAGAATTGTACAAAATGCCTGCCACACCGGCAGGGGTAGGTGTGAAATGAGAGGGGTGGGAATCTGGGGATTTTGGGGGTGGAAAAGGTGCACTGGGGAAGGGATGGGTGTTTGATGACTGTATGATGGAAGCTCAGACGTGAAAGCTTTGTTACTGTACCTCATGGTGAATCAATTAAAAAAAAAAACCAACCAATTTTTTTTTTTTTTTTTTTTTTTTTGCTTTTTGGGTCACACCCTGCAATGCACAGGGGTTACTCCTGGCTCTACACTCAGGAATTACCCCTGGCGGTGGTCAGGGGACCATATGGGATGCTGGGAATCGAACCCAGGTTGGCCGCACGCAAGGCAAACGCCCTACCTGCTGTGCTATGGCTCCAGCCCAAGCCAACCAGTCTTGACCAATGAAAACATTAACATGGAAGGCTTAATCTGCAACAACATCCTGGTAAACCCTCAGACAAAGACTTAACTGTCCTCACTGTGAGATACAATAATTTTCACAAATTTTCTTTGACTGAAATATTTTTTTGATCATTTCGCTAGCTGTTTAGTAGTTACAAGCAATATAAAGTAAATGATTGTGGGGACTAGAGTGATAGTACAGTGGGTAGGGCATTTGCCTTCCAGGAGGCCGACCCAAGTTCGATTCCCAGCCTCTCATATGGTCCCCTGAGCATCACCAGGAGTAATTCTTGAGTGCAGAGCCAGGAATAACCCCTGTGCATCGCTGGGTGTGGCCCAAAAAGCAAAAAATAAATAAAATAAACAAATGATCATGGCCCTGCTCTGGGGGCAGGCATGAGGGGTGGTTGGGAAAATGGAGACAACAGTGAAGGGAAGGTGACAGTGGTGGTGGGATTGGGGTTGGAATATTGAATGCCTGTAACAAATTGCATCATGAACAACTCTGTAAATCACAGTGTTTAAAAACTGTGGGGGCGAGGGGGAGAGACTTAGAGGGATGGCAGTGGGAGACAAGTGCTCAGAGACAGCGTGGCAGGAAGTGCTTTGGCTGGCTGCCCTGAAGAAATGGAGGGAAAGGCCTAGAAGCAGGTGCCGGAAACCAGGATGTGTCCTGAGGAAGGGAGGACACACATGCCCCATTCAAAGGCCCAGGGCAGTCCTAAGAATGAGGAGAAACCCGTGGAAGTCAGGGCGTGGAGGCCACCAAGGATAGATTTGGTGTCCTAGGGGAGGTAGTTTATTTATTTTTTATTTTTCGTGTTTTATACCTTTATTAAGACATCAGGTTAGTTACAGACATTGAATAGTCCAACACCAATCCCATCACCATTGCACCTTTCCACCACCATTATATTGACTATACCAACACCAATCCCACTATCATTATTTTAAATTTTCCCAACCACTCCCCAAGTCTCCCCCCATAGCAGGCCCTCAATAATAGCACAGTGGGTAAGGCATTTGCCTTGCACATGGCTGACCCGGGTTCGATTCCTCCTCCTCTCTCAGAGAGCCCAGCAAGCTACCGAGAGTATCTCGCCCTCATGACAAAGCCTGGCAAGCTCCTCGTGATGTATCTGATATGCCAAACACAGTAGCAACAAGTCTCACAATTTGTTGTGAGACGTTACTGGTGCCCGCTTGAGCAAAATCGATGAACAACAGGAGGACAGTGCTACAGACAGTGCTTGTTATCAATAATTTGCTAAAAGGATGATCAAAAAATGTTTTCTTCCCAGGATGGGAGATGCATGCTGAAAGTAGACTATAGACTGAACATGATTGCCACTCAATGCCTCTTGTGGACCACAACACCCAAAAGGAGAGAGAGAACAAAAGGGAATGTCCTGCCTCAGAGGCAGGGTGGGATGGGGGAGATGGGGAGTGGGAGGGATACTGGGATCCGTGGTGATAGAGAGTGGGCACTGGTGGAGGGATGGGTATTTGATCATTGTATAATTGAAACCCAAGCACAAAAGTTTGTAAGTCTACAACTGTACCTCATGGTGTCTCACTAATAAAAATTTTTAAAAAAATATTTCCTTAGAAGAAAATTAGTGAAGATTGTTGTATCTCACCATGGAGCCCTTGGATGAGAGATTACTAAAATGTTACAGGTTAAGCCTTCTGTATTTCCGTTTTGTGAATCGAGATTGGCTGCCTTTTACATTACATCCCATCCAGTCGGCTATGCTACTCCTGATTTATCTGTGTTGTAGACTTTGAGTTGCTGCTCCAGGAAGTCTCGTGTTTTTAGTGGGGTGATACATCTGGAGTTAAATTTTAACTGAATGATTGCTTTGTTGTGAGACGTTACTGGTGCCCGCTTGAGCAAAATCGATGAACAACGGGAGGACAGTGCTACAGACAGTGCTGTTTGGGGCATGTGCGTGACTGATGGGGGCCTCCAGAAGTACAAGGAGAGTGGGGAGAGGTAGCCCACTCCTGACTCTGTAAAAGCCTGGAGATTTCAGTCACAAAAGCCGCATATCTGAGTTTGTCAACAGATTAATTTCTGGATGAGGCTCATCCGAGCAGTGGAGTTCGGCTGGGAGCATGGGAGCAATTGTGAAGTGTGGGGTTTTCAATTGCTGGGACTCTATTCGGATGGAGGGTGGGTTCACCCAGCCCCTTCCAGGGTGCCCCAGATGACTCAACCTTGCTTGGGGTCCAAGAGAAATTCTGCCACGTTATTATTTTTTTATAATAAAACTTGGTACTCAAGTTCAGAAACGACCCTTGGGGTCCCAGGGTTGGGTTCTGAAAGGTTGTGCCTGGAGTCCTGGAGGGAGCAAGCGAAGGAGAGGAGATTGCATCTCCCTGGTGTGCTGGGCTGGGTGCTTTCCCCTTTCCAAGGAAACCATAGGCCATTCTCTCAGGGGACTCTGCAC